GGTGGCTGCGGGAGATGGGTGAGGATATCAAGGAATACTTGTAGAAAGAGAATGTTTGGAAACTGATTGTAGTAGCAATTATACAATTATCCTAGGTGTGATTGAAATATGGAATGATACAGGTACTAAATCCCAACTTTAAGAAACAGAATGTATTGAGTGTGGTTCTTTTTTTCTTTTAATATACCTATGATTGGATTAATCAAAAGCTTCAGAATTCTGGTATACCTGCTGTTATAAGTAATTTCAGCAAGATGGTTTTGTTATTTGTGAAAATTAAAAAATTTCACTTTACCTGGCAAGATTGTAACAGAATTTTCAGGGGTGGGGGGGAAATATTTGTTTGTTAAATTGCGTAAACAAGTTCATACACTTACCTCTGTGTGTACTTCGTAGGTTTCTTAATTTTACCATAGTCTATGTATGCTTTTAATACTTTTGCTTTTGCGTATCTGGGTTTTGGGATTTTTTTTTTAAGAGAAGCCCTTTTTTTATTGTTGCTGGAAACAAATGAAATAATCTTGGTCCTGATTAAAAATCCCATTGAAAACCTGAAGTCCTTAGAAAATGAATTCATCAGAAAAGTTTGAATTATTTAATTTTTATAAAATGTTGATTTGTGTTGTTACTGTCATTCAGAAAGAGGATAGTTGCAATTTGCAACAGATTCCCCGCACCCCCTAATGTACATAAAATATTGAGATAGTTTTATTTCTTGAGTCCCATTCACAACCGGTATGGTCCTTTCTTTTCACAGAGATGATCAATTAAGTTTAGTGTAATATAGATGCAATAAGTGATACATAAATTAAAGTAACCAATGATGAACATAAGCTTTATTTTATGCTAGCAAGGGATATGGACTTTTCAAAAGCTTATTTTAATAATATATTTTTATTTTTGTAGCAGTGAAGAATGTTTTCGCTCTCAGGCTTTTCCTTTGTATTAGGCTTTGCAAGTTCTTCACATTCATAATATTGTTAAGTGGCTGAGATGAATTCTAGAAGTTTTTTGATAGAAAGTTCTTTGGTTCTCTCCCATATTCTTTGAGGCTAGTGAACGACATATTGGAACTTTCTGTTTCATTTACATTTGTGTTAGAGATTACGGCAACTCTCAGTTTTTAAAGAAAATGGGTAAAGTTTCTTAATTTGAAAAACTCACCAAATTTTTATGTATCTAACATTTTAATTTGGTCGATAAGTATGGACTTCAACGTGTAGCTTTTGAGATGATTGGAATTCGTGTAATGTATATCATTCGTGCTTGCTTGCGTGGATCCTCCTAATAGCCTTGATATCCAGAGCAAGTTGTTTGTCCTTTTTTTTTTTTTCAATAAAGCAACTTTTAAAAATTATCTACAGGAGAGTGATGTCTAGAGGATGAAGGAGACCAGAGGGACTAAAGAATATTATTTAAATAAAAAATCAAAATGGACTGTTCACATACCTTGGTATTTTGTTCATTTGATTTGTGCAAGAGTGCTGGTCATGTCAGAGGTATTTTTAAACGGTTGGTTCAGTAATTTGGCCTACTGTCTTTTTTTTTCTCTATAACAGTTTTTCTGTTTTCTACTACACCTTGCACATCCACCAATCCAAGACACCCTATAGGTGAGTATTTTTCTAGTTATCAAATGGCATCACTTACTCCAGAAACAGTTGCTACTTCACTAAAACTAGACCTTATTTTTCTACTCTTGAGTTATTTGCTTGATTTCAGTGTGTCCTACTCCACAACTTTAAAGGTCATTAGAAAGCTGCTGAAGAACTGTTTTTTAAATTATAGAAAAATTCCAATAAGAGTAAAATTTTTTCCGGATACTTATACTAGGTTTCTCTGAAGTACTATTTTCAATCTCTAGTCTTTTAATTTTTACTCTTAGAAGTTGGAGAATTAGCTTAGGGTGGTTTATACATTTAAAGAAAATATATGTTTATTTTGATATTCTAAGATAGCATAGAGAAAGAGTTTTTTTAAAAGCTTCAATAAAAATCAAAAGTATTACTGTTGAGTCGTTTCTGACTCAAAGTTTAGAAATGCTCCCGGAGTGTTAGGCTGACCTCTCTCAGGAAGCCGGCTGCTCTCATTTTCTAAAGTGGCTGTTACAGAGTCGCCATGACTCGGAATGGCCTCACTGGCAGTGAGTTTGGTTTGATTTTTGGGTGGCTTTGAACCACCAATTATTGATTAGCAGCCAAATGCTTCAATCACTGTGCCCCCATCGCTCCACTCGATACTTGATTTAATTTTAAAATGAAATTAGGGAGAAAATTTTAGCACTGTTCCTTGGAGATTGGCATATAGTTGGGCTAATTCTCAGTTGTGGTAATTATATAGGAGGGTCCTTCAAAAAGTTCATGGAAAAATGGAATATTCCCTTGAATTTTTTGAAGCATCTTTGATCATGAACCATGACTTCTAGAAAGCCCAGACCTGTTTATTTTTCTATATTCACCTTAGACTTTTTCTTTTATCCTCTTATTTTTTTCCCTTCTAGATGTTCAAATATCATTTTAATGAGCCTGTGAAGACATTTTCCTAAAGATTTTGGAGATAAAAGGTCAATAGAATATCCTGCTCAGCTTTATTAATTTAGAGAGAATAGGATGAAAAGTGAAAGAAAAACAGGAAAAAAAAAAGGAAACACAATCAGACCTACTCGTTTAGAGCTTATAATGCTTATGTCTATCTCAGTCTTGCAAATAAATTTAGAACACTTATGGTCTTGTATATTTGGCTCTGTAAAGTTTTTAATCACTTAGCCTTGTGTTGCTATGCAGATGTTCTCAAAACATATTCCTTTAAAGCCATTTCCAGAATAAAAGACAAAATTTAATCTATTAAAGGCAAACTTTATTTCTGTTGTGCCTTGGGCATGGGGTAATTTACATGGCTGAATTAGGTGCTTAGTTTAATGAGGTTTCTTAGTCAGCTCCTTAGTCTTTTCCATATAATCACCTTTCTCTCCTGCTGATCTTCCTCATTTTACCAGAACACAGTGGGGAGTGGGAAAACAACGAAAGGTCACTGTCTTCCATATATCACCCTGTCTTGGGTGGCATGTAATTATATATTATATATATTTATATATATTACATATATTTATATATATTATATATATTTATATAATATATATATCATTAAAAAGTGCTTCGCTTGCCTTTGTGCCCCGATGTAGTTCTTTCCTGTTGCAAATATTTATGCCCCGAATCTTCAAAAGAGCATTTGTAGGCAAAATCCTTGGATTTTCAAGACCCAGGATAGGAAGGTGTATATTTTGAGAAAGTTTCAACATTTGAGTCTTAAAGAAGTTGTATTGTACAAATGTTCTGGATTGGTGGATATGCAAATATTGAAGGGAAGGGAGAATTACTACCTTTGATGTGATCATACGATATTTCTAATCTGGAGGAAAGTTTTCATCATTTTTTCATCTGGTTTGTTCATTGGATTAGGAGTTAATTTTATATACAATGTGTGATATTTAAAAATTCATGCAAGTGTTAAGTTTACTTATTAAAGAAAAATAATCCTTCAGTAAGTTTCCGGTAATCCAAGTCATTGTTAATTTTATGTTTATTTCCTTGTGCTTTAAATACTGCATATTGTTGTGTGCTGTAAAGTCGATTCCAACTCAAAGTGAACCATATGACAACAGAACTGTCCCAAAGACTTTCTGGCCTGTAGTCTTTAATGCAGAGACCACCAGGTCTTGTTGAGGAGCTGCTGGGTGAGTTCGAACCACTGAATGTTTAATGCAGAGACCACCAGGTCTTGTTGAGGA